CTCACCCATACCAGTTTCCTGGAAGTACTAGCTTGTAGTCGCTTTTTCTAAGCCGGGAGATTCGATTCGATTCATGCAGGTCGGCATGGCAAATGAGAAGCCTAAAGCTCCGGCTAATATAACTATGTTCCTTTCCCCCCAAAGGTCAGCAGTTGGATATTAACAGGATTGATTCATCGATTCAATCTTCGCACTAGCTAGTCTAACCAGACACGTCGCTCTACCGGTATCGAGGTTGCATGTGAGAGCTCATGTTTAAATGTTGTGAGACGTCGCTCGGCACATTGGGCATAAAACAGCTCCATAAATTCAGGCATCAGTCCGGTCACGGAAGTGGCACCATGGCCGATTTTGCCGTTGCTCGATCGAGTCCGGGGAATTCGGCCCGACATCATCCTACTACTACAGTAGATGATCTCATTTTAACAAGATGAGATGGCCCAAAGCTGGCTTCGTGCTTCTCTTGTTGGCGTTTGCCACCAAGGCTTCAGCTCTCGAGTATGAGCCGGGCAATCTGGAAGGCGTTGACCAGGACATGTACCTTTCAAAAGGCTTGTCGGCCAAGATCATTGCAAGGTCAGGAGAACCCGTAGCCTACTTTGATGGCACCAGTTCGACGGAAAACTTCCACTCCGATCCTGATGGTGCGGCAGTATTTGAAGATGAAAGCGAGGCGAATTTAGGTGGATGGGTGTATGTCAGGTATGTGCAAGGAGTTGACCTTCATGCCCATCGTATAAAGCCACCATATGGCAGCATGCCGCTCATGACTTCTTTTCAAACTATACATCTCAGCAACAGCGAAGCTGATTTTGGAAACGGAGGTGTAGGAGCCATCAAGTTTGATCCCAATGGCAATGTCATCGACTACAAGATGGTTCTCACGGGCACTAGTCGAAATTGCAATGGCGGAAAGACGGACTGGCAAAGCTGGTAAGTTCAGGATTGTGTGTGTTCCACCCATCCACGATGTCATCATTATAAGAGGCAGCACGGCGCTCACCATCGTCTACCAGGATTTCGTGTGAGGGTACGTGATCAATTTGACTTTTTTTGGCTTTGGTGATTTCATAGACTTACATGGCAGCACATCTACTTGATATAGAGGACCTTTTCGGACAGGGCAAGATATACCAAGTGGATCCTTTCGGTGAAAAGGATCCTGTGATGATTGCGCTCGGCAACCAAGGAGGAGTCTGGGAGGCTTTCGCTCATGATACTAGAGATCCAGAAGTGCTCTATGCCTTCATCACCGAAGACACAGAGGATGGAGCTGTCCAGAGGATGACGTACCAAAATCCCAATTACACCTATGCTTGGGATATACTCATTGAGAGCGCCCCCCTGGACTATTTGTACCTTGAACCCGCAAACGATAGCAGTGGCACATTCAAATGGATCCCAGACGAGGCAGAAGCAAGAGCCAATGCAGAGTCGTACTATCCCAGCACGGAAGGAATGAAGATGGATGGAAATATACTACGGGTTGTCTCTAAAGGGCTGGAAGGTTTCTTTGAGCTCGATTTGGATGAAGGCAATTATACGTTTGAAGTTCCAGACTTTGATGGCCAACCCGACCAATCCACAACCGTGGTTCAAGATGATGGAAGCAAACTTATATACTTTACGGAAGAAGCACATCCCTTTTGGGGGTTCTTTGGTTCCCAAGTTGGACTGTACACACGAGACGAAGCCGGAGAGTACACGACCATTCTCTTTGGAGACGATTATTCGCCAGGTATGCTTCACTTCATGTATATGTGTAGAAGAAAACCTTTGCTCGTGTTTTGTCTCTCACTCTTTGCTGCTGCGTTGGTGTTGACAGAAACCACAGGGGTTGCGTTTTCCCCCGATGGTTTGCACATGTACTTTGCCTACCAAACAGATGGCTACCTCTTTGATGTAACTCGAACGGATGGTCTTTCTTTCTTCTCACCTGCAACTCCAGCAGAAGTAACTGATGATGGTGGTGATGAGTCCATCTTGGACTGGATTGGAGGATTGCTCTTCCCTGCAGCAGAGGGACAGGATCTACCTTAGTATCTACATGTAGTTACTACTACTAGCTAGCGCTAGTCATACCGTACCAGGTACCGTACCATTGCTTCTGTGTTGGAATGCAAATTGGGGGACCATTTTTCTTAACAAAGAGGTGATAACATCATAAAATTCTGGGTCTGTGGGCATTCCTTATAGTACAAGGGAGTCCCTTAGACCCTCACTTCTTGATTGTTGGTCACTTCCTGGACTGTAAATTGGCCCCCCCTTTTCAAGAGGGTGCTTGCCATCCCAAGCAGCCATATCTAGATAACCATATCTCAGCCAAAACTCAACCTTTTTCGAAGATTTTTGCTTGGAATGATATCTACTCTTTTTGGAGAACTCAGAACTGTCTATTATCTTCAAGCTATTATCTATTATCTTCAAGATAATAGGATTCCTAGAACACCCATATTCTAGGTGGGTAGCTTTACAGGGGTATATCTACCCAAAATATGGTGGGGCAAATCAATTTTGAGGTTAAATTCATTTTTCTAATTTATTAATCTAAATATCCAAAATTAAAAAATTGAATTTTTTTCCTACATGACACCACTTTTAAACCAAAGGTACGGTAGACCTACTTACTTTGTGACGGGCAGAAAGGGTTCACTGTAAAGGTTCCTTTTCTTCGTCCTTGAGTTCTGAAAAGCTAGCTCTAGAGCGAGCACCGGGAAGGAACAGAAGCGACATCGTGAGAACAAAGCGATCCTCATTCGCCTGCGCTCCATGATGAACTTTTTCTGGGTACTAGTCTTCAGACACCACAGCCGGATGAAAGCTGCGTAGTCTTCCAAGACACCCACAGATGTCGCTCATGAGCAGCTCCGGCGACACGAACGCACGTGATGACGCGTTCCATTGCACGAGTACTGGTACCACCGTAGCCTTCGACAATTGATTGATTAGACTCCAACCTCCAAGCAATTGAGCGGTCGACAATTGAACGAGAGGCAATTGGATGATTGCAAAGAGGAGAGTTGCCTCAACTCTTGCTTCGAGGCGTAATCATAGCATAGCATCATAGCTACCAGAATCGGAATCGGTATCGGTACCGGCAGTAGGTCTACATCCACCCAACAAATCCGACCTCAGGAGATCCTCCGCCCCCAGGCTGGAATCCGCCCCCAGGCTGGAAGACTATTTCGTTGAATGTTTTAGCTGTTTTACCGGTACCTGCACGTTTTCAGCAGGGCAGCAATAACATAACGCAATAACGCAGCAACGGTGGTCGTTGGTCGTTGGGGCTCGCTTCACGAACACGTGAGCATGATGTTGTTGTGAGTACTAGTACTGTACGTAACGACCCCTGAGGCAGGAGCCAATACTGTAGGTCTAATTGGAGCCGGCGATTATTGGAAATAATTGGCAATGGAGGACCTTTTTAACTTTTAACTTTCACATCACTTTGCATTGATACCGGTACCGGTCCTTGTTACAACTTCCCCTGACTTTGAAGAGTGCTTTAGTAGTGAAGTGCATTAGTTAGGCAAAGTTGCCGCAACAAGCTAGTAGAGCTGCTCGGTGAAGTCTCGTCTGGCAACCGAGAGGTTCCAAGACATGATCGCAGCGTTCATCGAAAGAGAGCTTCTGTCAGGAAAACTAATCATTAAATCCAAGTATACAAAGGCACGTGGAAGCCTTTAATTCACCCCTGCACCGACGAGTACCGTCCTACCGACGGCAGAAGTCAGGGTTGCTGGTTCAATTAATATTTCATGAAATAGTTCAATTAGGGTTCACGAACCGGTTCATGAAGCGCACGTTCATGAAGTGGTTCATGGGGGGTTTGGGCCACTCATGAACTAGGTTCAAAGTTCATCAGAATACAAACTTTGGTGAACTTTTCCACATTTTTGGTTCATGAGAATTCTGCACCATAAATGAGGCAACACATGTCTAGTAAGCAACATTTTCCTGACTTGCAAAGCCACCTTCAGTCCAACTATCCACCAGCTACACTTGTGCCAGGTTTGGTGACCCAATGTATGGGCGTTTTGTTCTTGACTACGAGCATACAGCCTGTATTTGCTAACCATAACCCTGTATTTGCTAACCATAATGAACTACGATCGGAATATTGTGAGATTAGACTTAAAACTAGCGTTAAAGCGCCACGTCATAGACGTGCGTATGTCACTCTCCTCCACTGTGAGGCAACAATAGGCGCCGAGCATCAGTAACATTTAGAAAATGAATCAGGGGAACCTCAATAACCCGGACCGGTGGCAACCGGAGGTACTGGATGCTTTGGAAACACGCGCCGAATGTTCAGCGCTCAAACTGATGAGCACTGAGTTGAATCGTTACGTTGCCTTGGTATGAACGGGGAAACACGATAGGGACCAGAAGCCGTAGGCTTCAACTTATCACTGAGACCGAGATACGCACGCTTGTAGACCAGGTCGTCGACTGCGTAGTCATAGGGAAATGCGTTTAGCATTGGCCCGTGCAAACGTTTGTCAACCAAGGATTGACGGTGTCGTTCACGGCCAAGATGTCTGCATAAATAGGAATGTCAAGAAACATGTCTCGTTTTAAGGCAAGAGCACCAGGATTGAGATACGGTTCGTACTCTGCACGGAAAAACGATGAGCATGCATCGCTGTCGCCAAGGTTTCGGAAATAACCTTGATCCATCAGCAACACTCTTGGGATCGCGCGAAACCACAATAGTACGCAATACTTGACCAATTGCTGATGAGTTCGTTCAATCATCGAGTTACCTTGTGGATTACGAGGGGTCGAGTAGCATGCACGCACCATTCTTTTAACCATCTCAATGAACTCCAGTTTGAACTCAGGACCATTGTCCGTGACCACTTTCTTAGGTCGGGGATACCGAGCAAACCATGTATCTTCGACCACTCGAGCACCTTCTTTCGACGTTCGTCGCATAATAGGCACAATCTCTAACAAGTTTGTGCAAGGATCCACCATAGTCATAGCATGAAAGTCAATGTCCGTTGTCGTAACTAATCGTCCACGGACCGATTGTGTCACAATGGACTTCTTGCCAGGGCATCGCCGTACATCACGTGGAGCAGATTCTCCATAAGCACGTCGTGCTCGCTTGTTCTTTGCACATGCTTCGCACTGCTCAATTGTTTTCGGACTTCGTCGCGAATACCTCTGTGGTAGAAGTGTGTCTTGATCGTTTGTTCTAAACGATCCATGCTTCGACATGTGCCATGATTTGTGATAGAAGCTGACCAACTTGGGAAGCAACTCTTTTTTTAGGACAATCTTGTCCTCGTTATTCTGACGAAAGCATATAGCTCACTGTTTCCAAACATCTTTTGAAAAACCGTTCCGGGTTGTCAACCACGGGCTGTTGCAAAACTGCACTGTCCGCTTTGTACTCGGCGAGAACCGAGAAATTGAAAGGATTCCTTCCTTCGCCTCGAATGTAGGATGCTCCAAGAAAGATTCTTCCATACCGTCGTCGGATGATGCATCAAACATTCGGCCACCGTCGATTCTCCTCCACAATGGAATAACATCCGTCAGCAGATGTAGAAAGAGGATCGGAATTGGCACTGTCACGATCTTCGCGATAAGTGGGCACCCGGCTGAGGGCGTCTCCAAGGATGTTCTGGGGGCCCGGTTTG